TAAGAATTTTAACAATATACTAAATATAATATAAATTTATTATTATTCTATGAATAGGACAACGCACATCACCAAAACTGAATGCATATGTCTGCCCCTTACGTTCATGAATTTCTTTTTTTTCACTTTTGTAATCATCGACTACATCAAGATTTAGAATTTCTTTATCCCAATTATTTAAATATAACATAGAAGCTTTATCATCTAAAGAAAAAAGAAATAACTTAATCAAATTAAAACTTTCCGTATATTTACCTATACAAGCAATAATTGAAACTGGGACTCGTTTAGGATGTTTACGTTCTTCTTCGAGAATTCGTCGTAATTCATCTATTTTTACATTACCATAATCGTCCGGTGGTTCTCCATCAGTAGCAAGAAGAATAAGCAATCTTCTTTCTTCAATCTCTTTTTTCTTGTCTTGAAAAACTTTTTGTAGAGTTCGTGCAATTGGTGTTGGATCTATATTTTAATTAAAGATAAGCATGTCACAAGAAAACTTGAATATTTCTACTGCAACTGAAACAAATGAGCTAATGTTTTTTTCAACAATAGAGAGATTCCTTATTAAATATATTAGTTTTTCATCACAGATAAAAATCATTTCATAACCATATAAACCAAGTAATTTTGATGCAAAAGAAATTACTGAGTAAAACAAGTAAAATCATGCTGTCTTTGTTATTTAATTATTATAAATTAAAATTTAATCTTCATTTTATTTCTTAATCAATTAGTTAAATAGTGTGATAAGATCAAGTCGATGATAGAGAAATCGGATGATTTATTCAGGAAAAACACGAGTATATATATATATGTGAAATGAATAAAGAGAAGAATTCGTCGAAAAGTTTCTTCTCCTTATTAAGTTCATAAGAAAGACAGACAATGGATCGAGGTTCAGAAAGGTCACACAAGTACCCGATGTACGAAAGAGCAGCAAGATATGAACGAAGGAAAAAGAAAGAGATATATGAAAGTAAAAGATACAACTACGTAACACAATCTTAGAATGAAATATATGATAGTTAAAATTAAAAATAAAAGATTAGTAATAAAATTCCGAGAAACTCTCGTTTAAAATCTTTATTAATTAAAAATTCACTAACATAAGAGAAAATCTACGGAACGATATTGATTTGATCGATGTTATGAATTTCATTTTTGTTCAAGTACTTTTCCACCGAATTTAGCAACTAAAAGAAAAAATATATATCCATGTATCATAATCAGTATAATTAATTATTTACCTTTAGCATTAAGTGGTAATTGAGTATGTGCTTTAGCAATATAATCTCCTACTCTTGGTAATTCACGAATTGTTTTCAAAAATTGTTTGATATTAGGAAGTTTATCAATTAAAGTATGTTCTTCATCCATTGCTAGACCAGCATCGATATAGTCATATAATTGAAAATCAGCTACTGTTGGATGATCACCAACAGCAAATTTAGTTTTATGTTTTCCAAAATAATCATCAAATTTTTTCAATTCTTCAGATATAACTTTATCAACGCAATTTTTTCTTCCTTCTTTTGTTGCTCCTTCTGGACCATAGAATACGCTGCCTATTTTCATTCGAAAATCATGAGCTTGTTCACATAACATCATTACATGTGCTTCTTCAGTTGGAGTCTTTCCCATAAGATTTGCTTTTCGTCCAATATAATATAAAATAGCTTTTGATTGAGTCATTTTCAAATCACCATCAAATAAATATGGTAAATTTGGAAAATCTAAAAATATCAAAATTATAATAATTAAAGAAAAGAATATGAATTTGTTTTTTATCTACCAAGGCCAAGATTTTGTTTTTCGCTAAGCCATTCTTCTCGACTAAATTCTGGACCTTCACCTTGTTCATAAAATTTTTCTGTATAAGGTGTATTAGAATAATGTAAAGCCAAACGAGTTGGTTCAACTAATCCACGAATTGACCAGTAGCCAAGTACAAGTTGATTTTTGTCAGTATTTGATGCAGACATTGTTTTTTTAATGTACTTATAGAAAATAATCTAAAACACAAATAAGTAAAAGAAACAAGAAAGTAAATGATATGTATGCCTCGATAAATAAAAGAAAGGGTGTGTAAGCCACTACTCCATCTTGTAACTTCTATTTATACGAAAAAAATATATTTCTTATCGTTTTGCCAGCAAAGGTAGCTCTCGATTTGTTTTTCTCTTACACACGCCATCTTATTTGTGAAGTGAATTTGAGGTCGCCATATGTTAGTAATATTTTTTTAAACACATCTGGCAAATAGCGAGTAATTTTAATATGAATAAATGTAACCTCTTTTAAGAACAAATCTCCAAAAAATTGAATACAATAAACGTCATAATAGATAAGCGCAACTTCTTTTTATTGCTCAGAAATAAACTTTATTTTATCTCTTAACTTCGTTTGAAGGGATTGTCTGATATAAATAGTAACATTCATATTCTTTCTATTATTAAATTATAATTAAATATAAAAATAAAAAAAGATCTGCTTTTGACGAGTACATTACTACACTCATATATGAAA